TTCCTCCCTCCTCTCTCTCTCTCTCTCTCTCGTTCCGTGTGTTACCGGGACCCCCGCGCCCGTACGTGTCACATACCATTCCATGCGCCCAGCAGCGAGGAGGACAATGTGCCAACGAGCGATCCGTGCAGGGACTAGGCGGCATCGCAGTTTGCTGCTCCCAGGCGCAAAACAACACAAGAAGCGCAGCAGCAACGAAGACAAAACGAATGAAACGCCAGCCGCACCTCCGGTTTTTGTTTTTATTTTTTCACTCTTTTTTATACTGCGTGCGTGCGTACGGGGCTCAGGCGCGCACAGGCGTATAACTCTCCATTCTGCACTTTTTTTTTTTCTCCTTCCCTCCCTCTGTGGAAAATGAAGGGATAGTGAGAAAGGAGTGCGGAACACACAGGAAGAAAAGAAAAATCTAGACTTTCATTCTGCCTGGTCGCGAGAAGCATTCTTGCTGCGTCTGTGGCGATGAGAATAGGAGTTGTCACGGGAGCGATGCCGCTTTCTCCTGTGTGCATCCCCGGGCGCCGACCATCCGTTCCTGCTGGCGATTCCGCTACTATTACTATTACCACCACCACCGCCCCCGCTTGCTCCTCCTCCTCCCATTACAATTGTTGGGTTCCTCTGCGACCCCGACGTAGATAAAAAAGACACCGGCTGCTGTTGCTGTAGTGATGATGGTGGTGGCAATGCACCGGTAAACAAGTGATCCACCTCGGCAGCAGGTCGTATCATTTTCTCCAGCAGCGGACATTCCACCGCGGCGAGCAGCTGGACGGGGTGAATGCCTTCCGCGGTGCCAGCTGTTTTCCCCACCTCCTGCAGTCGCTTCGTCAGTGCAGCACGGAAGGCCGCCTCATACCGACTTACAAGGCCCATGATGCGTCGCATGTGAAGCGTGAGTGTGTACGCCTTCCAGTCACCAAGTGGCGTGGCCTGCTCCAAAAACCGTGTCACCGCACGCGTGGTGTCGGCAATGAGAATACGTAGTAACATTCCTGCATCCTTCTCCGAGGCCGGAAGAGAGCGAGGGAGCCACCCGTTCCCACGCTCGTTGTCCTCCGCCTCGGCAGGCGCGGGCTCCACCTGTCGCTGCTGCTGCTTTGCATGCGTGTGATGATGATGAAAGAAGCTCTGCTTGTACGGCAGCACAATGTCGTTTGCGACCACCCCCAAAAAGGCAGACAGAGAGGCACACTCCAGCTTGGTGGCATGCGTCAGCTTGGTGTTTGCCTGCAGGACCACACGACGCACAACCTCCAAGAGAGCCTGCGGCTCAAACAGCCCCGATACCGTCATGAGCCACTTTCTCAGAGCCACACCAGACGCCACCCCATCCACGACGGAAATACGGGCACGCTGTATGAGTGCCACAACTAGTGGCTCCACGTACGACTTCACTGCCGCAAGCGGGAGCGGCCGCGTATCACATTGTCGTTGCGCTGCATTTCGTGAAGTTTGTATTTCTTCCTCACACTTCTTGACATCGGGCCTCTTGACCTGCGCCTCCGTCGCCGTGCCGTTCCCCGCAATCCCAGACTCTGCCTTGCCGTCAGCTTCCACAACGACCGTCGTCACCAGAGCGTGCTGCTCTGGCAGTTTTGTCTGCGACGACACCTCCGCCCCGTCCCGCTTTCTACGCAACAGGTCCACATCCCGCAGAATCGCCGCCTCCATCGCGGATTCAGCTTTGGCCTGTGAACCGGACTCCTTCTGCTTTGCGGCGTGCTGCTCCAGTGTGGCCCGGCGCTCCAGCAGCGTTCTCGTCGGAATAAATTTCATGTAGTTGCGGTTGCAGACCCGCAGGAGCGCCATCGCCGCGACTCCGGCACGTGCGTCAACATCTTCAAACTCCGCGTTGCAAAACCAGTCATGCCAGGCATGCGGCGTCGTCGTCGTCGCTTCCTCCTCTGTCTCTGCTGCAGCAGGAACACCACCAGCAGCAACAGCAGGCTGCGCTGTTACGTCTCCAAGCATGCATCCCCCACGAAGCAGGAATGCCATGGGCAGTGGTGGCGCCCACCCCTCCTCTGTGCCGTTGCCCCTGCTGCCTTGCGGCGCCATTCCAGGTCTACCCGCGTGGTTTGGTGGAGGGACTGGACGCTGTGTGCAAAGCTGCTGTGCAATGGCCCGCTGAATGGCATGCCGCCTGGCAGGGTCCCAGTACGTGACGCTGCTGCAGAGCCGCAGTACACCAAAAAACAAAGACGACATCGCATCTGCCGCCACCGAATCTGTCACGATGCGTCGATCGACGTCACCCCGCACACGAGCCGCCACCAGCGCCCCGATGTGGACAATCATGTCAACAAAAAGGTCCCGCACCATCGCGTGGTCCTCCCCCTTTTGTGTCCCCCCCATTGCGGACAACCGCCGCGACGACGTCTCTGCCGTTTGTGACATGAGAAGTTCGTGAAAAAAATGCAACGCGTCGTTCTTGGCGTTCAGCGCAAGACGCAGCGGCTGGCGACAGTAGTAGCCACGCGGCAGCTCCTGAAAGTACGCCACCTCCGCCGAGAGCGGGTAGCGCAAGGCGCAGCTCAAGTGTTCTTGATCGCTGCAGGTGCTGTAGTCAACCCCAATGGCCCGCAGGGGAGGGAGAAAAAAGGCGGTAAGGCCGTGCCGTTCCCGCCGCACGATATGCTCGTGCAGGTACGTTATCATGCGCCTGCCTGGTGCAAAGAAGCGACGCGCGGCGCGGCGCACATGATGCAGCATATGAATCTCAAAGAGAGGCGTCTCGTGGCAGATAAACGCCAAAAACATAAGCCACTCACTCGCCGCCGCACCCTTGAGCTCGGAAAAAGCTGTGAAGGCCTCATCCATCGCGGCTGCAATAAAGCGCTCCAGCACAAGTGCAACAGCGTCGGCGGATGTCACCGCTGCCGCTTCGTGGCTTGCCAGATCCGCGCAAAGGCTCACTAACGCCTGCTCGACGGCACAAAACACAGAGAAGTACTTTGGGAAAAACGTCCTTGCCACGGCATTCTCCTTCAATGCTTCCTCCACAAACGCCATGGCGCGCGCCTCACTGGAGCACCCCTTATCGGTAATCACCGCTTCACAATCACACAGCGCCGCCACATGATTGCTGGGACACAAAAACGTTAACAAATGCCGTAGTGTTGCAATTGGGCGCTGCACCAACAAAACACGCAGCACCCGGGTGCTGAGGCTGCTAGGGCGGCCCGTTTCGTCCAGCGCACATGACAAGACATGACTCATCTTCATGTTACACGCCTCCACAAGTGTCCATTGACCGCTGGCTGCTGTGGCCGACGACACCTCCACGCGTCTTTCGTAGGAGGCCAAAAAAGATTTAAGCGCCATGTGCTGCCGCGTCTCAACATCCTCGCCGACGCCACGCTTTGCCTGGTCGCCGGTAAGACGCGACACGTCTTCACGCGTCGCGTAAAAGGCATGTGCCATTGTGTCTACAAGCATCATCATCCACGGAGATGTCTCATCCAACTGCGCCAAGAGCGCAAATACACGTTCCACCTGCTGCTTGAGTCTCCGTATCCACTCAAGCGCCTCCGGGCTTGTGGTGGTATCTCCGGCGTCTTTTTTGCCATTATCCACATGCCTCTCTGCCGTGTTCTCCTCCTGTTTATTATTATCCTCTTCCTGCTGCTGCCGCGGCAGCGGTGCGAGTGAGTAGAGAAAGCCAATGCACACAGGCAGCCATCTAGCGATCATCTGCACTACGCTTCTAGCCTTGGCTGAGGTTGCCACCACAACGTGCGGGCGTGGGAGGCCCCGCATCCCCGCAACCTCCGCGGGAGTAAGAGGCACTGCCAGCAACCTCAGCACCCGAACCGCGCGGCAGACAAGTGTACAGGCCTCGTCGCGTCGTTCTTGCGCCGTGGAGGATTCCGCTGCCGCACACACCCGCTGCACTTCCTCCTCCAGCCTCTGCATCTCGATGAGAAAGGCCTCCCACGCATGCTGCACGAGGCGCGGCAGCCACTTCTCCTGTTCAACAGGCGTCATGCCCCAAACATCTGTCAGAAATGTCCACACCACCTCCCGCATAGCGCCGCCTGCCGCTGTTTCCTCCACCCCTGTCTCGTCCCAATTGGACGCATGCGTAAAAACGATACCATCAAGAAAGGTGTCTAGCAGCGACTCGGAGGCCAAACCGCCATCCGCATCCGTGTGGGAGGCCCACCGCGTCGCCCACTCTCCAACGACGGTGTGGAGGAGCATCTCATGGACAGTTTGACGGAGTGGAGGCGTTTCTGGCTCAACCCCGACACTGCCACGCAGCGCATCGCCGTTGCACCTCGCACGCCGCTCCTGCTGCGCTGCAAGTAACGCCTCTAGCAGCTGATTCCGCAGGACAATCAGTTCCGCCTGCCACACACCCATTTGTACCGGATCCACCCCGGCGTCGCCCGCCCCCTTCGCCGTGTCGCCGTTGTATGTCACAGTTGCCTCCATCATCTCCTGGGCCTTCGCCTTCACGCTGTCGATAGAGGCGACAATGTCGACAGCCGCCGTGGGTGGCCCCGTCACAGCCGCAGCCTCCTCCAAAAGCCGCCGATGCGACCACCAAAATTCGCACGACGTACCTGTATTCTCCTGCTGCGCCATTGACACGCAAACACACAGCAGAGACAAAAAGTAAACGAACCTCCTTTTGGGATTAGTTGACCCGGCTCTTGGAGTATATCCTGTCACTTCCCTACTCCAGCGTTCCAGTAAGACAGACAAACCAAACGAGGGCAGAAAGGGTGCGTACACAAACACATATAGCTACGCATGCATCCATTCACCACACACGTACACGCAAAGAGGTGAGAGCATTCCTTCTTGTGTCATCATCCTCTCCTTCTTATATATCCCCTCATTCTTTTTTTTTTTATTCCTCCTCAAATGAAAGCTTTGTCAAAAGAAAGAACAGCATCGAGTGATCAACACATGTGACTAACGTCAGAGTGGTTTCTCAGTGCGTCGCTGCAGAGCCAAGGAACGGCGCACATAAAAAGTGTGATCTGAAACCCCCTGCTGCCGCACCTCAAAGTACTGTGGATACTTCTCAAAGTAATGAAAAGCCTTTACATTCGGTTTGCCCATGCATTTCACCCTCACCTCCTCCGGTATGCCAAGCTCTGTAAAGGGTGACCACTCGTTCGGGATGTACTGCAGTACCATATTAATTTTTTGCTGCCTCTCTGCAATGGGGTCTTGTTGCAAAATTCGTTCATTAATATCTCTGCTTGTTCTGGACAACGCCGAGGCCGCGGGAACCGCCGCAACCACAGGGGGTTCCTCAAGCATCACCCGCCGGGCATGCTCTGGCACCAAATGCGGGGGGGAGCAGTGAATCGTCCTGTTCCGCGCGCTGCCCTGCTGATACACGGTGAAGTGCTGCGGGTAGCGCAGCAGCAACTGCTCCAGCGGTTCCCCGTTCTTTGCCAGCGTCCTGCGACTCGTGGGGGAAAGGGCGCGAAAAAGAGCCCCAATCGGCACTGGGCGGCTCAACACAACTTGAATCTCCTCCAGCAAGTTTTCCAGCGCCTCCTGCCGGGACACCGCCGGTGCTGCGGCGTCCGCGGCACTATGCGGCTCCGACAACGACGAGGTCGAGCCACCCTTCGCCGCTAACGCATCCGATGCCCCGTCGTCGCTGGACGTAGACTGCAGTCGCCGCTGCACTACGACGGCGCCACGGACGTGGTGGGCAACCGTCAGTGCCCCCCCTGCTCCTGCCGCGACTCCGCTGGTGCTGGGGCCTCTGCCAGCGCTCAACAACAAATGCTGCACCACTCTCCCACGCAGGACCCCACGACGCGCCAAAAACATTCTCACTGGTCTCACCTCACAGTGTCGTGTTCCCCCCGTTCTGATTTGTGCCGCGCCGCATGCAAGAAGGAGAAAAGGACAAAAAAAAAGAGGGAGAGAGAGAGAGAGAGACGGAGAGACAGAAGAACAAATAAACGCACTGAAAAACAACAGTCGCAGAGAAGAACAACGAATGCACGGCCGAACACACTTCCAAGAGAGGGCGGTAGGGGAAAAAAGCTAGGGCCAGACAAGAGCGGGAGGTGTTCTCCGTGGTCAAGCCCTTTTTTTTGTTTTCTCTCTCTCTCCCACAAACACACAGAGAAAAATAGATGCATACACGTCCGTTGAGGCTCCACAGACTCTGCGGCAATGCGCGAGGAATCATACCCCAACCTTTTTTTCCTTTTTTCACAGCCATCCAGCGCTACCCAAGCCTCTCTTTGGAGTCCACATCTTCCATCTTCTTCCTCTCCACTGTGAAGACAGTGACCACGCGTCGTCACACACGCTCCTTCGCAATCTATTAAAGTGTCCCCTTCACCTCTGCGCTGCAAAACCGGCAAAACATATACGCACACACACGCTGAGAATCAAGCTCAACGACGTCCCTGCGTGCCGAAGCTACGATTCTCACCGCCCATCCTGCCGCCGCTTCCGCGTCCCCTGAAGCCGCCACCGCCGCCTCCACTGTCACGGCCTCTAGAGAAACGTTCACCACCGCCTCCCCCACCGCGATCATCACGGTTTCCACCACCACCGCGATTGCCACGTCCTCCACGATTGCCACCGCCACCGCTACCGCTACCGCCACCGCCACCGCGGCGGTTAAGCCCCAACATCTCCTGCATCGTCTCTCGTTGCTTCTCGCGCGCTACAAGCTTCTGCAACGCCAGCGGCGCGGCTGCAGCGTACAACACACCATCTGCCGGATTTTTCTTCACCACAAACAGCTGCTTGCGTTGCTCCAGGAAGCTTTTGAGGCCATTGTATTTTTCTGCTACCGCTTCCTGCACATCAGGTGATAGCTGAGCGTGGAGGCTCTTCACTGAAATGGCACCATTCTGCGGAATATGCTTGACAATGCCCGTTAGAATCTTTGAGTCGTCCCGCATCACCATGCGTGTTAGTTCGCTGAGCTCGCCGTCGCCAGTCTTGTTGATAATCGTGCGTCGCACCGCGCCTCCCTTGCCCTCAGCTCCGCCGCCTCTTTCCCTGTCTCGGCCTCTGCTGTCATATCCACCGCGCTGCCCACGGGCAGGACGACCCCCACCGAAGCCTCCTTGGGCTCGCGCTGACAGGAGCAGCGTCATGGGCGTAATTACCAAACACGCACCCGTGCCAGACAGCGACCCGGTCGCTGTCTTACACGCTGTGGCAACGAGGCCACTCAGACCGTACGCGGGGGGATGCAGTATTCGCCGCATACGTATCCCTCCCTTTTTCTCTTTCCTTTTTTTTTAATTCGTTCCAACCAGGGTATATTCAAACGATCGTAAACCACGCCAGCCGCGGGATAAAACTATGACAACAAATTACTCTCAACAGCCACCTGTTTTCCCTCACTAATGTGGTTTCTGTAAATGTTGCCCTTTCTTTCCCTTTCGTTTTATGCACCTTTGTGGTGACGTGCTGTCCCCACACACATGGACCAGCAGAAGACGCAAGGATCAAAAAAGAAAAGAAAAGGGCGACAGTCGCAGCAGTCTATCTTCCGTCCACCGCCGTGCAGAGGCGGCCACTGCACCCGCGTCGTGCAGGATGATCATACAGTCACACTTACGCATATGTATGAGGTAATCTACACGTACGTGCATAACGTTCAGAGGCGGCGGGGGTTGGCACGAAAGGCGTAGGAAACCAACAACCACAACAAGTGAACGAAAAGAACGGGGATGCGTGGGAGGAAGTGGGGGATAAGTATGTCATCCAAAAGAAATTATATATATAATTTCTTTTCCTTCGTTTTGCTCCGAGTGTCAAACACACGAGTGCACGTTAAGCTACTCACCGCTGCTCATTTCCCCTTCGTGGCGTCATTGATCCTCGGTGGTGGCCCAGTAAATTCACCGGCGCAGGCTTCATACACATCGTGTGGCCACGCACGCTTAGTCGCCACTGTGGTCACTTCCCGCGCCATCAACCCTTCGCATAAGACGCAGAGCAAGGCGGAGGAGGCACGCACGCACCTACAAACGCACACACACTTGCAGAGGAATCAACCACGGACACAGGGGCAAAAAAAAAAGAAGGATGGAGAATGGGTAGAGAACGCGCCACGCAATGTCTGCATCCCCCTGTTCCTTTCCTGCAGCAATTAGCGCAGCTCCTCCCCTCCCACATTGCCTCCGTCGGCCGCAAGGAAGAGAGAGTGTGGGAAAGAGGGAGAGTCTAAGAGGACTCCTCTACCGCACTCTCCCTGGTGAGCAAGTTATGACACAAGTATGGAGGTACCAAAAACGTCTCCGGCCCGCCGTCTGCACGGAGACGAGATGATATGAGTGGAGAGAAGGTTTGGTAGGCCCTCAACGCTTGCTCACTGTGACAATCTCTGTCGTGTGCAACATGGAAAAAGTGATATTAGTGGGTGTACGCCAGAAAAAAAAAACAACAACAACAAAAAATCATTCCGTCTTACCAGGTACCTACTAGGCCCACAGAAACATTCCTCTCGCAGCCTCCCGTTCGTCGGGGCTACGCCAGCTTGGCAATTGGCACGGACGTAAGGCAGGAAGCAGAGAAAGGTGGCCAAAAACTTGTGGTGTCGGCGAAGAAATGACGTTTCTCTCGCTTCTGTTACTACCCACAATTCCTCAGCGAACACCACCTCACCCCTTCTTCCTTGTCTGTGCGCAACCCCGAGCGTGTTGCGACAGCGTGCACGCTCGCTGGCCCCACTCGTTTAGTTCGAAATGACACGAACGCCCCACCCACCCCTCTTCCCTGCTGTGCTGCTCTTTTGCTCCTCCTGCCTCACAGCAACGCCGAGGAGGATTGGGGCCGGTGCACCTCCACCACCTCGACGGCACCGTCGATCTCGCGTTGCCGCAGGACGAAGACAGCCACGTCAAGGTTCTCCAGCTCCCGCCCCACGTTCGCCAACAGTGCCCCAAGCCTAGCCACATCACCGGGCTGACGCGAGGAGCAGAGCGCGCAGAACGTATCTGGATCCATGCGGAGTGCTTGCTGCAGCCAGCCATGGCCTATGTCCACCAAGAGCTCTGTCTCCCCCGTCTGTGATCCTCTGTTGACTTCATCCGGGGGAGTGGCGAGCAGGACAAAGAGCGAAAACCGTTTTGCCTCGTCTGGAGAAAGTGCTGAAAATTCCTGAATCTTCAAGTCCGATTTCACCTCTCTGATCACCGCAATTGTCTTAAAAGGGAAGGTGCGCGGGTGATGGGCTTGCCACGCGGAAAGGGGCTGAGGCTGCGAGGCATGAATCGAGGAGGGCTGTAAGGGGGAAGGATTCACAACATTCACGGCGGTGGTCTGCTGTAGATCCGCAAATGCAGCTCCCGCCGCCTCCAACTGTTGTTGTTGTTGCTGCTGTTGCTGCGAGAGTGATGAGGCAGGAGGTTGTGCCACGCTACTGCCGGCATCGGTGTGAGTTTCCGCCGCCCCTTCCGGCGTGGGTGACGTCACCCCCCGCCGCAGCCCCTCCACCGCCTGCTGCACCTGCTTCTTTGGTCGTCCAGACATCTCCTCGAGAGCCTCCTTTGCATGCTTCTCCCAGAATTCCTGCAGCTCCGGCAGAAACCCACCCAACATGACAGTCTGCTGTGAGGTCAGAATGAGCACACCGTGGCGTATTTGCAGTGGAGCAAGAAGGCACAGTTTGGTGCCCCATGCCACGCCTCCCCGCAGCGCATCACACCCCTGACGACAGTCCTCAAAGGCAATAACCCGCGTAAAGCCGTCAGTGAGAATCAGCCGGAGCAGCCGCTGACGACGCCCACGCCAATGTGAGGCGGGGTCATCGCTCTCCATCGACTGCAGCATTTCATACACTGAAATCTGCTGAGCCTCATCTCCCACTGCGTCAGGGGGATCTACGTCAGTGCCCTGCGTCGCCGTTGTTGGGGGTGCCGCCATGGCTCTTAATCGCTGCGCCAACGGGAGCGAGACATCTTCCACGGCATTTACCTGCAGAATAATCGACGCCGCCTCGCCGCCTGCCTCTGTCGGGGGCAGCTGAAAGTCGTCAGGCAGGAGACCCGCTCCACCCGGCAGCTGCGGCAGCACGGGACGGATGACCGACGGGCTCAGCGACGCCAGGTACTCCAGGTTGGCAGAGAGCAACGCATCCCCCTGCAGCTCGCCAGTCGCCGCCCCCATAGAAATGTACGCACCGCGATGTGCCAACACCATGTCCACCTCACGCAGACACGAGGAAACTCACCCACCCCCAAGAGATGAGACGGAACTGTGGAATGAAAAGTAAAACACGCGCAAACAAAAAAATAAATAAAAATGGGCAAAAGAGAAGACAAAAAACAACAACAACAAAGAAAACGCAGGGCATTTAGCACGCATCCAAGAAGAGAGAGATACGGGCTGGGCGTCTTGGCTCACCAAATAACCTCCAAGCAGAAAAAAAGGGCACAAAACCCGCCTTCCATGCCACACACACGAAAAAAAAAAAAAAAGAAAAGAAGAAGAATGTATAATGATGTATATGTATATATGTATATATATATATATATATGGAGGGAAAATGGCAAGAATATCTACAACAACAGCAACAGATACGTCTTTCCTCGTCCCCTCCCCGCCATCATAACCCAATCCTATTCCCTTTGACGTCGATGCATGGTTAGTACAAAATGCATGCGCTTTCTCCCCCCTTTTCCCCCCTTCTCCTTCTTCCTCTTGCTTTCGTTAAACCTCCTCAAGTAGCACAAACCCGTTTTTTTTTTTTTTCTAAAGCACACAAAGGCTTTCAAAAAAGAAAAAATAATAATAAAAACACACCCATTACAGAACTAGTAGGTAATGCACACCTACACATATGCAAACATGTGCATGTATGTATGTTTCTTCTCATTCCTTCCTTATTATCCACCCCTTCTCCTACCACAACTCCGTTAGAAGAAGAAAGCGTGGCACCTGCTTCTCGAGGCCCCTCCGTCTGCCACCTCCCGTTACGCTGGGCGCGTGTTCATTATGCTTCGATGACAACTCTGGCTTCGGGTGATATATATATATATATATATATAAGACATACATGATGTTTTTCCTGGCTTTTTTTTTCCTTGCTCTTATTATTTTCCTTCCCTAACTCTTGCTGCCATTTACTGTGTTTGCCTCCCCCCACTTTCTGCGTCCCCACATCCGATGTATGCTCGCTACACCTGCGCGCACCCACCCACCCAAATACGCTGCCTCGCAGCTGCATCGTCTCCACATCCGCAGCAACGTCAATGATGACAGATGACACTGCTGACGCGTATCTGCTGTTCCCATCGGCAGACTAATATATATCTTTTCTCCCTTCCCCTTTTCCCCCACCCTTTGCTTTCGTTTACGCTCAGCGGACACTGCCGCCGTTGCGGCCGCCGCCCAAGGCTTAGAAAAGGAACGGCAACATGCGCCTCCGCTTCGCCGCCCCCGGGTCGGACTTGACGTAATTCTTGTGCTTCTTCGCCGCCCACTCCGCCATCTGCACAAAGCCGGCGAGGGTGAAGAGCCACGAGGACACCAGGCTCGTGCCTAGGGAGAACGACACCCACGAAAGCACTTCAAACGTATAGTTCGGGCAGGAGACCAGGGAGAATAAAACACCTTTTGGCACGGTGCGGGTCGTGTCCCCGTCACACCGGCGCATCTCACTCAGCTGCTTGTGCACGGTAAAGTTCAGCAGCTCAAAGACAATCATGGCAGCCGCTGAGGCGTTCACCAGGCAGCGATTTGACGGCTCCGTGTACTGCGGGTGACACAGCACGTAGCCAATAAACAAGGCAAAGGTCCAGTAATACACGCAGTTCCGGACAATGTTGCGGCGTGGCATCGTTGCGTGCGAGAATTTGTGCACAAAAACGCTCTCCAGTTCACGCTTGACAAAGTGGGCGGCAAAGAGAGTGATGAATACCTTTTGTGTATAACCAAACCCCTTCGTGATGTTGGTGCCGTAGATAAAGGACGGGCGCAGGGCGTAGCCCAGCAAAATGGCGAGCGGCCCCGCGTACTCCACGATGAAGACAGTGCGGTAACCCACCTGTGGCCCCAAGTCCTTGTAGATGACTTCTCCCCCTTCGTTCACGCCCTGCTCCTTCAGCGGTCGTTTATCCACCAGCACAACGAGTTGCGGCTTCCCATTCTCCGCACCGCCGCCGCCGCTGCCCGCCACCTTGAAGGACTTGCGGTTAACATCCAACTTTGGCTGGTAGACCTTCTTGAGGTCTGCCAGTGTTGCATTAGGGGGGAGCTCCACCACCTCCGACTGCTTCCCAGTCACAACAGTCACCTTCATTCAGATTGCGTATGCGTGTGTGTGTTTTGTTTGTTTGCTTCTTCTTCTCTTCCCACATAAAGATAGAGAGATGCACGGAGTCGTAAGGGGAAGAGCACAACGCACTGAGTCACCACCGTCACACACAGTTACGCACCCGACATACGGCAACTACACAGAGACCTATGCAGTTGCGGGGGATAGACGGAGTTCTCACCACGCTTGCAGGCGCATATACTCACATACACACATACACACACACACTCAAGCTGAGAGGAAGGGAGAGTACATGCGGTGCCATACGCACATGCAGACTTCCCCCTTTAGCTTCAATTCCCTTTGCAATTAGCGAAGATTCAGCGCCACGCTGAGCCTTTAAATACCACATTAAGGAAGTTAGAGTTACCCAAGTCAGCCCCATTATATACATGGGCGCAAATGCGTATGCATACATATACATGTGCGGGCAGATCCCACGAATTACACTGTTTTTGCCTATTTATTCAATACACATCGCCGGGCTTTCTTTGTGGTTAAACACCCCCTCATCTGCTTCCACCTGTGTTTGTGTTATGTGTGTGCGCGTCCGCAGAGGCGCGGAACAACCAATTTCCCATGGCAAAGTGGGCGGAAATCGCAACAGCAAACAATCCAACGGCGGAGTGAGACTCCACAAATGCAAGCAAGCAGCAACACACTGAGGCAGAGGAAAATACAGGACTAGAATAGATAGAACAAAACAACAACAACATAAAAAGCAAAGTCGGTGTGAACACTGAATACAAAGAGAGGAGACACGAGTGGCTGCTACAGGCATGATAAAAATGGGTGATGGAGTGCGTCACCGGCCTGCATGCGACGTCGTGGGTCCCGCTCAAAGCAGCGTGCGATGAAATCGTTCAGTTGCATCGGCCACACCTCGGGGTGCCGCAGCGCGGGCGACAGGTAGTTGTCCTCGAGTGCAGCAAACAAATCTGGTGTCCCCCACCCGCCGTATTCGAGCCCATTGATCATCTGCAGCAAAACACACCCAACGCTCCACATGTCGCTAGAGGCGCAGAACACCGGCGTGCGGCACGCCGGGTGGGTAGGGTTCTCAGCGGCCCAATACACCTCCGGGGCCATCGTACTAAAGTCCCCGAGCTGCATAATGGGGGTGCCAAGGCGCTGTGCGAGTCCAAGGTCGCCTAACACAATTTGGGGCAGTGGCGGGCCATCAGTATCGCCTAGAGGGCCAGATGGCTGTTCCATAGCCAATGGGAATGCTCCGTTCGACTCGGGACCGCTCGAGACCCATGAAGAGGAGAGAAGAATGTTGTCCACCTTCACGTCCAGGTGGCAGAGGCAACAGGTGGTGTTAAGGAAGTGCAGCGCACAACAAAGGTTCCACGCCACGTGTTGAATTTCTCGCACGGAAAAGAATAACGCCATGACAGTGTCCCCGGTGTTATTTACCATGATATCAGGAAACGGGTTCGTGACTGAAAAAGAACCCGTGCAAATCTTGCGACGGGCTCGAATACACTTTTTCAGTGATGAAGGGTAGAAATCAAGTGGGAACCACATGGCATCCCTCTCCACGTCATACATGACATCGCCGGCCAGACTCGTCACACGTCGAGCCCCTTGTAACTGGAAACTCTGAAACTGCAGGCGGGACTCAAGTATGGCAATGGCATCAATGCTTTTCGGATGCACCGCCTGCGCATCTTCTTCTTGTGGCTGTAGAACACCCTCAACTGCACGCGTCTCACGGAGCGCATCTAATTCCTGTTGCAGCCTCTGCACCTCCTGTTCCAGCCAGTGACGAGACTCCGTCACAAGGCGCAGGGAATTGGCCTCATCCAATGACCAGGCCGCCTGTACCCGACTAACCTTTATAGCCACCATGCGACTCGCCCCTCCGCTAGCGGGGGTGTGCGCATTACCCGGGTGATCAGCATTGCCATAATTGCCAGGATTGTCCTCCCCCGATCCCAGCTCCGGCAGAAGGACGGCAGGAACCACAAAACCGTAGTTGCCACGGCCCATGCAACCGCTTAAACCGCTACTGCTCGCCGAGACGGACCTACTGCGGCGAAACTGAGCGTCCAAGTTTTCCTCACTCACCAGGAGTGCAAAGGGAGACGTCCTGGCGTCCGGGTAGCGCGAGCGTAGCTCCTGCACGGTTGGTTCCTCTGCCCGGACCAACGGCACAGTAGTGCCGCTATCCTCATTCCCGACACGGTCCCCGACCTGATCTGAGCTGGACGGCCATTCAAAGACATGACTTTGCCCCTGCTCCTCACGAACATTTTCCTCTTGCTGAGCCTTGTTAGAACAGCATGCGGCGTTGGGCGTGGTCGCATCCACTCGCCTTGGCGCACTCCACGCATGAATAAATGCCATTACGTCTTCCGGGTGGGCGGCGACAAGGTCCATGATGAGGCAGTTTATTGTTTTCTGCACCCCACACCGCCGCACCCAGCGGTCAATAAAAAGAGGCCGCAACGAACACCATTCATCTCCCATCGCTAAGTTTCCGCCTACACTCACCCCTTCCTTCCTTCACTTTCTCTGTGGTTACGTCCCCGCAGCTTCACTCGTGGACCGCACCCAACGAAGAGGAAAACGTCATTCAGCTACAAGTGGTGCCCCTCCCTCCTGGAGACACACGGAGGCGCAAACCAGGCAGCGCATGCTGCACGCATCACCAGCAGCCCCCACCACCCCTTCCGGAGCACACAAGTAAGGTGCAAGTAACAGGAGAAGGTCCACACATAAGGCCCATATATATGTGTGTATATATATATATATATATAAATGTAAAGACTGAGATAGAGACGGATAGAGAAGGAGAAATAAGGAAGGAAACAGAATATATAATAAAGAAACTCTTTTCTCTTGTCCGAAGGCATTTGTGTTCTCTCCTTTTTCTTTTTGTTTGCTACTTTATACCCCACTCATGCTGTCTCAGAAACCCATGCGTGTTTTAAACTAGCTCTATGTCTTTATAGGTGTAAGGCATTGAGGTATGCCGATAGGATAAACGCCGAAGTAGTCCCACCCCATAGCGGGGGACAAAAAGAGGGGAAACGCGATTGGGAGGATATGCGCCCAGTAACAAGGAAGGTCCTCATTTGCCATAAATATATTTGGGATGGGGGACCGTCGACAGGTGGTGTGTTGGCGACAACAACGCAAGACGAACCTCCTACCCCCCGTTAGAAAGCAAACAAAGCTGCCACAAGCGAATCATTACTAGTAATACCCCAACTACCACAGTAGGGAAGGGAAACGCAAAAAAAAGAAAAACAACAACAACAACGACGACAACAAAAATATATCATGCATGCAGAGATACACGTCGGCGTTTCCTCCTCTTCCTCAGGCGAGCTCTTATGTTTACTTGCAATAGCATACGCAACTCCACCAAACACGCCTCAAGCCTTCATTCCATCCTTCTATGCAACTACATATACTTTATGTATGTAGCTATGCACGTGTAATGTAATCATTTGAAATTTATAGGGTTATTGCTTCAGACGTATCGCCAAGCATGGTTATATCTCTATGTAAACAGGATCAACCACACTTAGAAAACTAGAAGCCATTGAAGGAAAAAACAAAAACAAAAAACAAAACACCCACACACACAATCGAGAGAAGACAATGATGATGATGATGACTGATGCTCATCCATGCGCCACTCCCTAACCTTCCTACTTCTTGCCACCTGTACCATGCACCGCACTACTGTTGCTGCTACTAGTACCACTACTGCATAAACTTATTCCAGCGGAGGAAGTGGACAGCGCAGTAGCTGTTGATGCGCTTGATACGGACGCAGATGCGGAGGGTAAAGGCACAGATGCGGATGCACCACTGCCCCTGCCCCTTGAGGCTCGTTTCTTCAGCATACGCTCCGCCTCACGGTCCTCCTTTTCCTTGTACCATGCTCGCTTCTTTTCCCGCAGCATCTGTCGCATGTTCCTTCCCTCCAGCGTCCGAGGCGTGGGGGCCGAGGGGAAAATGACACTTCGACAGTTGCTCGTCCCGCAGCTACACGCAAAGGGCGGCATGCGTTCATCGCACAGCGTCGCGTAGTCAACAGTGAGCTCCTCGCCCACATTTATCTTCCGCTTCGCCACCAGCGTGAGGGTGCAACCCTGCATGAACTGCATGTTTGGCTCACACGAGTGCCGAATTGCCACCGCCTGGTGCAGTCGATCCCCACGTAAAATGACGCAGCCAACGGTGGGGTCCTCCTCGCCTAGTTTGTAGAGCGCCTGGGCAACGACAGGAACGGGATGAACGGCGTCGCCGAACAGGCTTTTACCGGCCCGCACCGTCTTGCTCGCACGTGTGGAAAAGTTCCCCTTTGAGTCGTGGCTGATAAAATACCATGGACGACGAGCCGCCTGCTCCCGCACTGCGCGGAGTATGGCGTTTCGAATAAACCGATCATGGTCCCACGACTTATCGCCCTGCACCATCACATCTGCAAAGTCCCCACCATCCTTCTCGTCGTACCACATCCCACAGTTGGGGTTAATTTCCAGAAAGTACACGTCCCCCTTGGCGTCAATGCGGAAGTCCACACGGCCATAGCCAACTCCGTTCATAATGTGTCGAAACGCGTTACGGGCAGTGTCGATGATGAGGGGGTAGGCAGGGTCGCTATGTGGCAGGAACCCATAGGCGTTGTCGTTGCACTCCATCGTCCACTTCTTCTCAAAGTACGCAAAGTCATCATCATTCTGCAGAAACTTAAACATGAGTGGCTTAAAGACCTTCACCCCAAACTGGCTTCCGCTATCCGCGCAGGCGAGAACGGTGCCCTCGCGGCCGCGAATGAACTCCTCGACGAGGGCATGATTGAACTCGGCCAAAAACGCCTGCACCTTCACCTTCAGCTCATCCAAGTTGTCGCAACGGCTGTCCTTATGTATCCCCACCGAGGCGTACCCGGAGAGGTGCTTCACAATGACAGGAAAGCGCAGGTGACGACACTTCTTCGCCAGCCCCTCGGCGTTCTCCAGCAGCACAAAGTTGGGCGTATTCACGCCTGCCGCGCCGACAAGCAGCTTCATGTCAATCTTACTTGGCTCAAAGCTATGCGAGTCGGTGCCGGTGAAGGCAGCGTTGTGTTCCTCGAGCGCTTCCACCACGTCAATACCTGCCCGCTTTTCGTCCTTCCCACCATCGCAAAGGTTGAAAAAAACGTCAAACTTGTTGGAGGTCACCAACTCCCGTACATGGCGGTAAGCATCGCTCTTCCGCAGGGCCACCTCCGTGAATGTGTACCGTTTCTTGTCCTTCACCCAGTGGGCAGGGCTGCAGTGGTAGTTGTCAATCTCCGCCGTCACGGAGTCACTGCCCTCGTAGCTGCTGTTGAGCACACACACGCGAAGCTTAGGCGCCGCGGCATTTGTCTTCTGGGCACGCTTGCGTCTTGTGCAACGAGCATTTACCCCACCAGTTCCAGCTGCGTTGGCAGACACCGACGCGGAACTGGCACCTGCTGCATTGCGTGATGCTCCACCGCTGACTTGTGCGGACGTCATCGTTGTCGCTGCCGCCGCCGTCGCCCTCTTCACGCGCTTCTTCTTCTTCAGACCCCTCGTGCGTTGCAGCACCTTCGTTGTCTGCTTCTTCCGCCTCAGCGAGGAGGCACCACCACCATTGCTGGTGTTCCCACCGCCGTCACCTCCGCCGCTGTCGCTGATGTGACCGTCGCTGTTGTTGTTGTTGTTGTTGTTGCCGCTGCCGCTGGTATGGCTGCCAGATGTATGCGTCACCGTTACGGCCTGCGTCGCTCCGTTGTGTATGCCATGACTGTGCGCGTGCCCCGCCATCGGTGAGTTGCCTGTGGTGTGTCCACCGCCTGCGTGCGACGTCCCAACCCCATGACCCCGACCAGAGCTAAAACCCTTTTGCGGCGTCGTCACGGAGGCGTGTGACACTCGGCTCCTCCGCGCCTCCCATGCGGCGTCGCACGCAGCAGCCGGGCAGTGCGTGCAACAGGCTGCTGCGATGATGCCCGAGCGCCGCAGGGCCAATCTGAGCATCACTGCGATCGCAGCTGCTACAGCTGGAACAACAACAACAACAGAAAAGAAAGGAAGAAAAAAGCCATTGAAAGAGCACCAGCGGAGCCCAACACTTACACACAACATCTCAAGGATTCATCGCATCCCTCTGTCTCGTCCATGACACGCCGCAACAATCTCACGGAAAACAAGACCAAAAAAGACGCCTCACCTGTTCAAAAAAAAAACACACACAACAACAGAGGCTGTTCATATACCAACACATGCCCACTCACATCTACTCTTTCTCTCACACACACAAAGCGCCAAACACACGGGACAAACCGAAGTAAAGTCCCCCTCCCTCACTTCCCCCTAAAAAAATACTACCAAAAAATTCATAAAAAACATGCAATAAAAAAAAGAAACACACCCACACCTGCAGTGCAAGCACACATACAGGGGAGACGGCCACGCACTGCTTCACACTTCCCCCCGCAGGCTCACTCAAGACGATGCATGCGCAAATGTGCGCAGGGAAGCGGGCAGCAACCTTTTCCATTGCGCCAGCGGCAAGCGGCAAGCAGCGGACACCGGCACAATGACAAAAAACATGGCTCATCACAAATCACCCTCTACTGCCGCATTCGGCTTAAGCTTTCCTGGGCGCACGCGACCAAAAATCAAAAGACCTGAAGGATCGTGCAGCATCGCCTCCTTGCCGTTTTTCCAGTAGAAGCGCAGCACGCGGGAGTAGTTTTTGCCATCCCACAGCACGTTGTCAAAGTTCTGCTCCGCAATGTACACCAGCTGGGGCTGCAGCCGCTCCTTCTGCAGTTCACGCAGGCTGTCCTCACCACCTGCGGCCTCCACGTCATCCTCCACCTGCACCACAACGGCGAGGTGGCCCTCGGGAAGGCCATTCTCTCTCTGCGCAGCCCACACAACAATATCCGCAACCTTTGGGGCGAGCCGCTTGCGCAGCTTCACCGTCGTGGCCTCCGCCGCGTTTAGCAACCTGATAGCCTCGTACGACCGATCAGTGGCTATGCCCCCATGGAACTCGAGAGTCGACCAGTGGCTGACGACGTCACGCGTCGAGTAGATGAAGCTTATGCCGCGGATCAGGTAGAAGAAGCGGACGATGTACTCCGCCGAATCCCAGCAGGTCCCGGTCCCCCGTGAGTGCAGGGTTCCTAACGAAAACGGCGCATGCCGCACGTCGTGGGGATGGCTGAGTGCGACGAAGGCGTACACATGCGTCTTCCAGAGCCGGTGACAATTACTGAATGCGGGAATGCCATGCGCGTAGCCAAGGAGGGTGCCG